CTCAAGGGATACTACATACCTGGCAAACATAGCTTTCCGGAGGACAATTATCAAAGAGTCTCTCATTGACATGCTGACTTTGAGAAGGGGCTGAAAGCAGAAGAATCAGTGGGTAAAAACAGAACAAGTTTGTTTATTAGCCTTACCTCATTTCTACCCAACACTGTTACTATTTGGCTTATATAAGGAACTTTCGTTCTGTTTTATATACGTTTCAATGTTTACTATACTTAGCAATAAGGACAATAGTATATTTTTAAATACCAAATTGAAACTAGCTGTGAATGCCTTTAAATCTACTGTCCTCGATTAATAATTTTCTAAGAGCCTTTCAATTAGTTCACCAACTTGAAAATGTGTCAAAGCAGAGAGAATAGTGCTATGAAGAGGATAAACTTGGAAAACGGAGTCTAGCTCAGTGCTCCTGCCCTTTTAATACAAAGTTTTATGTTTCAGAATCAAAGGAAATAGGATTTCTTAGACATACATATATATGAAGAAATGCATCCGACTTCCATTAGACAGTTCAACCCCAGTTTTGGCAAGCTCCTTAGGAGTCAGAAGACTTACCTGCACTGCCTTCAGCAGCCCTTGTACAGTTTGAAGGGGCAGAAAGGATATATAGTCAAAAGTTTCTGTGACTTTAGAAGAACAGCTTTGAAGAACTAACGGGGCATACATGACGATATTTGAAAGCAGGTCTGAAAAACAGAATCTATAATGAGTTGCCTCAAATAACTAAAGATATCTCAAATAAAAAGAAAAGAAATATGGGGAAAGGAATGGTAAAAAGTTTTTTGTTTCCTTTCTCAAGTCAAGTATACTGCAATATAAATTTCTACATATTCTATATATTTCTTCTGCGGGCAGTGGTCAGGATACTCTAACTTTCTTCTGCAATAGTGTAAAATTAACCTGTCTAAAAGAAAGGAAGAAACGCATTATACTGCCAAGTCAAGTAGCACACAATGTCTTCATATTTCCAAGCTAACATAAATCAATATTTATGAAGTTTTATTATGTGTAAGCATAATATGGCTCTATGAGGAATACACAAATGCATAAAACATGGTCTCTGTTCCTTCAAGAATTTTAATTTAGTTGAAAGTCAAGAAAAATATGTTTTAAAAGAATGAAAGACGTAAATAACAGAACGATACCAAATATCTAGTAATTCCAAACATAGTTTATTACCTAGTAAACAGTAAAAGAGAGTTTAAACAGGAGCTCAAAGGAAGAGGAGATCATTATGAGTTGGTGTGCTTTAGAAAAGCAATGAGGAGAAATTTAAGCTAGGTTCTGAAGAGAGAACCAAAAAGGCCTACTATATGTAAAGGGAAAAATATGAGTAAAAGTACAGGAAAGATAAATGTAAGACATATTCAGAGGGCGGCAGGGAAATCTGTGGAGATGGGGTGAAGGATTCAGAAAAATAAATAATTGAAGTTATCGTGGGAAAGGTAGGCTGGATCAAATTGTCAAGGACCTTAAATGCCAGGATAAAGAGCTGATAATTTATTAAAGAGGGTAGTGGTGATTTTTGAGTAGTAGAGCGGTATTTTAGGAATATTTATCTGTGGCAATACAGGCTGAATTGCTTCAGAGAGAAAAGAAAGCAGGGAAACCAGTTAGGAAGCTGTGGCAGTAGTCTAAATGCAAGGTTATAAGATTGGGAACTAGGCAATGGGTGAGGGGCGGGGGAGGGTATAAAAAAGAAGAAAAAAGTAACAGTATGAGGGAAGAATGAGAGAACTTAGGTACCAAGTGTGTTTGAGGAGATAAAAAGGAATTCCAGCCTCCAGGACTTAGAAGCCAGGCTTCAAATAACAGAAAGAGGGGCAATGGAAAGGGGAATTTGTTTGAGGGAACTGTATTACATTTGAGATAAAAGGAAAAAAAAAATACTAAATGAAAATATCCAGCAGAAACGAAAGCACTGTGAACTAAGGAAAGAGGACAGTCTTGACATAAAGATTTGGGACCCATTCCCACAAAAGCCCACAACAATAACTGAAATCATGAAAACAGGAATGACATCTATAAGTAAGAGAATGTATAAAAAGAGGAACAGACTTCTGTTTCCCACCATGATGGAATAACAGTGACCAGATTTACCCTCCCACTTTTAAACAACAACAACAATAATAACAAAAAAGGCCAAATTATATTAAACAGTAATTATCAGACACTAGACAACAAGCAGTATAGAACAATGATACCTGAGAGAAGGGAAATAAATGAGGTGAGCCTTATAATTCCCCCATCTTATTGCCTGGAGAGTTTCTAGGCAGCAGCACAGAGATGGGAAACTCAGAGTCCAGAGTTAAAGAGACAGTTGAAAATTCAGGAAAGCCAAAGCAGCTACAATTCACAGAGCAGAGAACTAGGAAAGAAAGAGCTGCATGCAGAGAACCCTGGAGATGTTCTGGGAGCTCTGTTTGCATGTCATCTGCATGTGTGTGAGGAAACCACCTGAAGTCAAGGAAAGGATCACCAGCAAGTGGGTAGATCCACTCTCAGAGGCCACACAGGACAGGAAAGAGTTTGCATTCACAAAAACCACAGTGGAGATACTTCATAATATACAAGGTTGAACACTCAGAAAGGCATTGCCTCAGTAGGGGAACCTAGTTAGCCCCAGATTAAAGGCTGCCTGGTCTTCCCTAACACACCATAAAAATAATCATCAAAAAGATTAAATGTTTTCCAAGAAACTTAAAACTTAAGGATATTTGAAGGGAAAAAACCCCAGCAAATCAACAGTGTAAAAATCCACAATGTCTGCCAGCCAATCAAAAATCATAAAGCATGCAAAGAAGCAGGAAAACATGATCCATGATGAAGAAATCAATCAATAAAAACAGATCAGAAATGACACAAATAATAGAATTAGTAGACAAGGACACTAAAAGAACTAAAATAAATATACTTCATATGTTCAAGAAGGTAAGGGAAGCACGTTAAGGAGAGAGAGAGAAGATGTGAAAAAGACACAAATCAAATGTCTAAAGATGACAAATTTACTGGATGAGATCAACAGCAGAAGAAAAGATCACTGCAGAGCAAAAGATCTGAGAATTTGAAGTGATAACAATACAAGCCACCTAAAATGAAACATAGAGTAAAAAAGACTAAAAAAAAAGAATATCTGTGAGCTGTGTAACAACTTTAAAGCAGCCTAATATATATGTAATTGGAGTCCCAGAAAAGAGAGAGAGAGAGAGAGAGAGAGAGAGAGAGAGAGAGAGAGAGAGTGTGTGTGTGTGTGTGTGTGTGTGTGTGTGTGTGAATGTGCCAGTGGGGAGGGAGATGACAGAAAATTTTCTGAAGAAATAATACTTCAGAATTTTCCAAACTTGATGAGAACCATAAACCAACAGATCCAAGAAGCCTGACAAACCATAAGAAACATGGAGAAAACTACACAAAAGCACATCGTAATTAAACTCACTAAAACCACTGATAAAGAGAAAATATTAAAAGAAAAAAGACATTATATAGAGAGGAACAAAGATAAGAATGAAAGCAGTATTCTTGCTGGACATGATGAAAGCCAAAAGACAGTAGAGCAACATCTTTAAAATACTAAAATAAAAAAAAAAAACTGTCAATCTAGAATTCCATACTCAGAAAAATATCTTTCAAAAACTAACACTAAATGAAGACTTTTTTTGACATAAAAAAGAATTCATCAATAGCAGATCAGTAGCATAAAAAAGAGGCAATCAGACAGAAAGTGATACTAGATGGAAACCTGGATCTACACAAAGAAAAAAGCACCAGAAATGGTAAACACATGGGTAAAAATAAAAGAAATTTTCTTATTTTTAAAAATTCTTAAAAAGATAATTGTTTAAAGCAAAAATAACAACGTAAATATAATTCAACAGACAGAGAAGTGAAATATATGAGAACAGCACAAAAGCCACAGGAGTAGGGGTAAGAAATGGAAGCGTGCTGCTGTAATGTTCTTATACTACATGTAAAGAGGTATACCACTACTTGAAGGCAAACTATAGTAAGTTAAAGATGTGTATCATAAAACCTAGAACAAACCAAAAGAAAATAAAACGAGGTATAGCTAATCAAATTAGCAAGATAAAATGGAATCATTAAAAAAAACAACTCAATGCAAAAGAAGGCAGGAGAAAAAAGGGAACAAAGAATAGATAGACAAAATAGAAAACAAATAGCCAGATGATAATCACATTAAATGTAAACAACCTGCCCTGATGAAAAGTCAAAGATTGTCAAATTGGCTTAAAAAAGTAAGATGCAACTGTACGCTGGTCTACAAGAAACTCATATTAGCTTTAAAGACATAAGTTAAAACTAAAAAAGTGAAAAAATATACCATGTTAACACTGATCAAAAGCAAGCTGGAGAAGTTATATTAATATCAAAGAAGACTTCAGAATAAATAATATTCCCAGGAATAAGAAAAGTCATTTCATGATGATTAACAGGTCAATTAACCAAGAGGACATAACAATCCTAAATGTTGATGCCCCTAATAACAGAGTTTTAAAATACATGAAGCAAAAACTGATTAACTGAAAGAAAGAGACATATCTTTAATTACAAAGTCAGAGATTTCAACACTCCTCTCTTAATAGTTAATAGAAGAAGCAGACAGAAAATCAGTAGGGACATAGAAGACTTAAATAATTTTACTTAACTGATTTGTAGAAAACTCCACCTAATAACAGCAGAATACATATTCTTTTCGATAGCATGCAGGACACTTATCAAAATAGACCATATTCTAATAAAACAAGTCTCAATAAAATTTTAAAAATTCATGTCATAGAAAGTATGTGCTATAACCACAAATTAGAAATAACAACAGAAAGACACCTGGAAAAACTCCCAATATTTGAAAACTAAACAACATACTTCTAAATAACTCATGGATTAAAGAACAAATCACAAGGGAAATTAAAAAGTATTTGGAACTGAATGAACAAAATTTATGGGATGTAGCTAAAGCAATGTTTGCAGGGAAATTTTTGTGTATCACTTACACTGGAAAAAAATAGTCTCAAATTAATGATCTAAGCTTCTAACCAAAGAAAGTACACATTAAACCCAAAGTAAGCAATAGAAAGAAAACAAAAAAGAGCAGAAATCAATGAAACTATAAACAGAAAAACAATAGAGAAATTCAATGAAAGCAAAAGTCGGTTCTTTGAGAAGATCAATAAAACTCTAAGTCTCTCACTAGACTGATCAGAAAAAAGAGAGAAGATGCAAATTATGACTATTAGGAATAAGAAAAGAGACATCAATATAGATCCTAGAGGCAATTAAAAGGAATATTGTGAACAACTTTATGGCAATAAATTCGATAACCTAGATGAAATGGTCAAATTCCTTATAAGACATAAACTACCAAAGTTCAACTGGAAGATTTAGATAACCTGAGTAACCTATTTGTATTAAAAAAGTTGAATTTGCAGTTAAAATCCTTCACACAAACATAAGGGAACTTGGAACATCAGGAAGAATAAGCAATGTAAATATCTATATAAATATTAATAGGCCGCAAGTTGGCACACTTTTTCTATAAAGGGCCAGACAGCAATGATTTTAGGCTTTATGGGCCATATGGTGTATGTCACAACTATTCAACTCTGCTGATACAGTGTAAAAGCAAGACAGACAACACATAAACGATTGAGCATAGCTGTATTCCAATAATACTGTATTTTATAAACTCTGAAAACTCAATTTTTCATGTGTCATAAAATATTCTTCTTTTGACTTTTTTCCAACCACTTAAAAGTGCAAAATAAACCCCCAAAGCAAGCCCAAGGAAGGAAATAATAAAGAGCAGAAATCAATGAAATTGAAAACAGAAAAAAACAGGAAAATTCAAACCAGAAGCTCATTCTTTGAAAGATTATAAAATTGACAAGCCTCTTAAGCCAGACTGATAAAGAAAAAAAGAAAACACAAATTACTAATATTAGGAATATCTTGATTTGCAGATGACGTGATTTCTATGTAGAAAATCTCAAGGAATTGTCAAAAAGCTACCAGAACTAATAAGTGGGTTTGGCAAGGTTGCAGGATATAAGGTCAACATTAAAAAAGCAACTATTTCTACATGCTAGCAATCAACAATTAGAAACTGAAAATTTTAAAAATACCATTTACAACAGTGTCAAAAATGAAATACTTAGGGATATATCTGACAAAAGATATGCAAGATCCACACACTGAAAACTATAAAACATTGCTGAAAGAAACTAAAGACCTAAATACAATCATGAGTCCCTTAATGAAGGGGACATGTTCTGAGAAATGCAGTTAGGCAACTTCATTGTTCTCTGAACATCACAGAGTGTACTTACACAGCCCTAGATAGGACAGCCTACTACGCACTTAGGCTATGTGATACTCATCTTATGGAACCACCATCATATTCTGAACGTCATTATGTGGCACATGTTTGTAAATGAGAATATAAATATTGAGTTCATTGGTTAGAAGACTCAATATTGTTAAGATGCCAATTCTTTCCCAAATTGAGCCATAGATTTGAGGCAATCTCAATAAAAATTTGAGGTTTTTTTTTTAATTAACAAGCTAATTCTAAAATTTACTTGGAAATGCAAGGGACCTGGAATAGCTGAAACTATTCTGAAAAAGAACTAATTTGAAGGATTTACACTATTTGGTTTTAAGACTTACTACAAAGCTACAGTAATCAAGACACTAACAGATACACAGATCACTGGAACAGAACAGATTCCTAAAATAGACCCACACATATATAGTCAGCTGATTTCAATAAAGATCCCATGGTAACTCAACAAAGACAAGACTACTTTTTCAAAAAACTGTGCTGGAACAATTGGATAACCATATGCAAAAAAACGAACGCTTTTACCTCACACCATATAGAGGCATACCTCATTTTACAGTGCTTTGTTTTATTGCACTTCATTTATTCACTTTATTGCATTTTTTGCAAATTGAAGGTTTGTGGCAACCCTGCATTGAGCAAGTCTATCAGTGCCATTTTTCCAACACCATTTGCTCACTTTGTGTCTCTGTGTCACATTTTGGTAATTCTCACAATATTTCAAACTTTGTCATTATTACTATATTTGTTATGGTGATCTATGATCTTTGATATTACTTCTGTAATTGTTTTGGGGCACCACGAACCGTGTCCACATAAGACAGTGAACTTAACCAATAAATCTGTGTGTTCTGACTGCTTCACCGACTGGCTCTTCTCCCGTCTCTCTCCCTCTCTTTCGGCCTCCCTATTCCCTGAGACACAACAATATTGAAATTAAGCCAATTAACAACCCTACAATGGCCTCTAAGTGTTCAAGGGAAAGGAAGAGTCAAACATCTCTCACTTTAAATCAAAAGCTAGAAATGATTAAACTTAGTGAGGAAGGCATGTTAAAAGCCAAGACAGGCTGAAAACTAGGTGTTTTGTGCCAAACAGCCAAATTGTGAATGCAAAGGAAAAGTTTTTGAAGGAAATTCAAAGTGCTACTCCAGTGAACACATGAATGATAAGAAAGCAAAAAGTCTTATTGCTGATACGGAGAAAGTTTTAGTGGTCTGGATAGAAGATCAAACCAGCCACAACATTCCATTAAGCCAAAGGCTAATCCCGAGCAAGGCTCTAACTCTCTTCAATTCTACAAAGCTGAGAGACGTCAGGAAGCTGCAGAGAAAAGTTTGAAGCTAGCAGAGGTTGGTTCATGAGGTTTAAAGAAAGAAATTGTCTCCATAACATAAAAGTGCAAGGTGAAGCAGCAAGTGCTGATGTAGAAGCTGCAGCAAGCTATCTAGAAAACCTAGCTAAGATAATTAATGAAGGTGGCTACACTAAACACCAGATTTTCAATGTAGTCGAAACAGCCTTATACTGGAAGAAGATGACATCTAGGACTTTCATAGCTAGAGAGGAGAAGTCAAGGCCTAGCTTCACAGGACAGGCTGACTCTCTTGTTAGGGGCTAATGCAGCTGACAACTTTAACTTAAAGCCAATGCTCATTTACCACTCTGAAAATCCTAGGGCCCTTAAGAATTATGCTAAATCTACTCTGCCTGTGCTCTATAAATGGAACAACAAAGCCTAGACGACAGCCCATCTGTTTACAACATGGCTTACTGAATATTTTAAGCCCACAGTTGAGACCTACTGCTCAGAAAAAAAGGTCCCTTTCAGAATATTACTGCTTATTGACAATGTACCTGGTCACCCAAGAGTTCTGATGGAGATGTACAAGGTTAATGTCAGTTTTCATGCCTGCTAACACAACATCTATTCTGCAGCCCATGGATCAAGGAGTAATTTCGACTGCCAAGTCTTATTATTTAAGAAATACATTTTGTAAGGCTATAGCTGCCATAGATAGTGATTCCTCTGATGGATCTAGGTAAAGTAAACTGAAAACCTTCTGGAAAGGATTCACCATTCTAGATACCATTAAGAATGTTCGTGGTTCACGGGAAGAGGTCAAAATATCAAAATTAACAGGAGTTTGGAAGAAGTTGATTCCAAGCCTCACGGATGACTTCAGGGGCTTCAAGACTTCAGTGGAAGAAGTAACTGCAGATGTGGTGGAAATAGCAAAAGAACTAGAATTAGAAGTAGAGCCTAAAGATGTGACTGAATTGCTACAATCTCATGATAAAGCTTTAACGGACGCGGAGGTGACGTCAGCATAATGGCAGAGTGAGCTTGCCCCACAGACTCTCCCCATCTAAGATCCAACGAAAAGGACATTCACATACCAACAGGGGACATTCACAGAACACAAAAGACATCTGAGAGACCCACACAGCCATACGTTTGAAGGTGGAGGTGCTGGAACGCCAGGAGGAAGTGGAAGGAGGTAATGAGGACTCCTCTCCTTCCCCGACGACAGCAACCCTGGGACCAGGTCCATGCGGCTCCCAGAGAGAGAGCGGGGAGGGGCAGCCCTCCATGGGAAAACTATCGCTCTCCAAGTTCTCTCACAGCCGGTGGGAAAGTCCCATATAGAGGGGACTGAACTGTTGTGGGGGTGCCTTCATCAAGCTAGCACCCTAGGAGAGCAGATAGCGAGGGAAGAGCAAGAAGCCCCTGGGATCGGGCAGGTGAAAGAAAGCGCCCCACCCCCAGTGCCCCAGCACAACCGGTCGGCCAGAGCACCCGCGGATCACAGTGGGCTCAGAATACACAGCTCTTGACCCCCACTCAGTGGCAGCAGGTGGAAGGTGTGACCAGATATTTTCAAAATGAGGAAAAAATAAGCCATGGCCTCAAGCAGTATGCAAAAATATATTAAATCTCCAGACCAGAAGGAAAATGACAAGCACCCAGAAATCAATCCTGAAGGCACAGAAATTTATAACCTAAATGACAGAGAATTCAAAACAGCTATCATAAAAAAGCTCAATGAATTACAAGAAAACACAGATAGACAATTCAATGGAATCAGGAACGTCTTCACAAAAGAGGTTTAAACTATAAAGAAAACCCAATCAGAAATGTTGGAGATGAAAAACACAATGGAGGAGATAAAGAAAAATCTGGAATCGTTAAAGAACAGAGCTGACAATATGGAGGAAAGAATTAGCCTTATTTAGGATAGGAATGCAGAAGTACTCCAGATGGAGGAGGAGAGAGAACTAAGACTAAAAAGAAATGAGGAAATTCTCTGAGAAATATCCGACTCAATTAGGAAATGCAATATAAGGATTATAAGTATTCCAGAGGGAGAAGAGAGGGAAAAAGGAGCAGAGAGCTTACTCAAAGAAATAACAGCTGAGAACTTCCCAAACCTGGGGAAGGAGCTGGAAATACAAGCAAATAAAATCAATAGATCTCCTAAATATATCAACATAAAAAGACCCTCTCCAAGGCATATAGTAGTAAAGCTTGCAAAAGTCAACAACAAAGAAAAGCTGTTAAGGGCAGCAAGACACAAAAAATAATGTACAAAAGAATCCCAATCAGGCTCTCAGCCGATTTCTTGGCAGAAACTCTACAGGCTAGGAGAGAGTGGAATGATATGTTCAAAATTCTGAAAGACAAAAACTTTCAGCCAAGAATACTCTATCCAGTGAAAATATCCTTCAGATATGATGGAGAAATAATAACTATCCCAGATAAATAAAAGCTAAGGGAGTTCATTGCCACAAGACCCCCGCTACAAGAAATGCTCAAGGCGGCCCTCATGCTTGAAAGGAAAAAAGAGAAAGGGGATACAAAGCTTTGAGGAAGGAGAAAAACAGGTAGAGAAAATCAGAAAAATGGCAGCTCTCTATCAGAATAGGTTAGCAAACACTTAATTATAACATCAAAGATTAAGGGAAGGAAAACACCAAAAATAAATATAACCTCATCACTTTAAACACAAACTCACAACACAAGATGGAATAAATTGTGACAATAATAACTTAGAAGGGGAAGAAGAAAGGGATGAAATTGACTTAGTCTAAGGAACTAAGAGGACATCACAAAATGGACTGTCTTGTCCACGAGATTTTTTATACAAACCTCATGGTAACCACTAAACAAATAAACAGAATAGAGACACATACGATAAACAAAGAGAAAGCTAAGAAAACCATCATACAGTGCTACCAAACTGAACTGGTAGTCTGAAACACATGGGATGAGAAACAAAGCAAATGAAAAAGAACTGGAAAATGAGCGATAAAATAGCAACATTAAGCCCTCATATGTCAATAATCACTTTAAATGTAAATGGATTGAATTCTCCAATCAAAAGACACAGAGTGGCAGGATGGATTAAAAACAAGATCCAACAATATGCTGCCTCCAGAAAATACACCTCAGCTCTAAAGACAAACATAGGCTCAGAGTGAAAGAATGGAAGACAATACTCCAAGCTAATGGCAAACAAAAGAAAGTAGGTGTTGCCATACTTATATCAGACAAAGTTGATTTCAAGATAAAACAGGTAATGAGAGACAAAGAAAGGCAATATATAATTATAAAAGGGTACTCCACCAAGAAGACACATCACTTATAAATATATATGCACACAACACAGAAGCACCAAAGTACATAAAGCGACTATTAACAAAAATAAAAGGAGATATTAACAACAACACAATAACAGTAGGGGATCTTAACACTCCACTTACATCAATGGATAGATCATTCAGACAGAAAGTCAATAAGGAAATAGCGGACTTAAACCAAAAACTAGACCAAATGGACTTAACAGATACACATAGAGCACTCCATCCAAATACAGCAGATTACACACTTTTCTCAAGCGCGCGTGGAACATTCTCAAGGATAGACCATATGTTAAGAAACAAGGCAAACCTCTACAAATTTAAGAAGACTAAAATCATAACAAGCATCTTTTCTGACCATAATGCTATGAAACTGGAAATCAACTACAAGAAAAACAATGGGAAAGTGACAAAGATCTGGAGACTATACAGCACACTAGTGAACAACCAATGGATCACTGAAGCAATTAAAGGAGAAATCAAAAAATATCTGGAGACAAATGAAAATGAAAGTACACTATACCAACTCATATGGCATGCCGCTAAAGCGGTCCTGAGAGGGAAACTCATAGCAATACAGGCCCACCTTAACAAACAAGAAAAATCACAAATAACCAACCTTTAACTACACCTAACAGAACTAGAAAAAGAACAAACAAAGCCCCAAGTCAGCAGAAGGAGGAAAATAAGAAAAATTAGAGCAGAGAAAAATGAAATTGAAACCAAAAAAACAGTAGAAAGGATCAATGAAACAAAGAGCTGGTTCTTTGCGAAGATAAACAAAACTGACAAACCGTCGGCTAGACTCACTAAGAAAAAAAGAGAGAAGGCTCAAATAAATAAAATTAGAAATGAAAGAGGAGAAATTACAACAGGACACCACAGAAATACAAAAGATTATAAGAGAATACTATGAAAAACTATATGCCAATGAATTAGACAATCTAGAAGAAATGGATAAATTCTTAGACTCATACAACCTCCCAAAATTGAATCAAGAAGAAATAGAGAATCTGAATAGACCAATCACAAGTAAAGAGATTGAAACAGTAATCAAAAACCTCCCAAAAAATAAAAGTCCAGGACCAGATGGCTTCTCTGGAGAATTTTATCAAACATTCAAAGAAGATTTAATATCTATCCTTCTCAAACTATTACAAAAAATAGAGGAAGATGGAATACTTCTAACACATTTTATGAGGCCAATATCACCCTGATTCCAAAGCTAGACAAGGACAATACAAAGAAGGAAAATTACAGGCCAATATCGCTGATGAACATAGATGTAAAAATCCTTAAGAAAATACTGGCAAACCGAGTACAGCAATACATTAAAAAGATCATACACCGTGATCAAGTGGGATTTATACCAGGGATGCAGGGATGGTTCAACATCTGTAAATCAATCTATGTGATACACATTAACAAAATAAGGAATAAAAACCACATGATCATCTCAATAGATGCAGAGAAGGCATATGACAAGATACAACATCCATTTATGATAAAAACTCTAAATAAAATGGGTATAGAAGGAAAGTACCTCAACATAATAAAGCCCATATATGACAAACCCACAGCCAACAACATACTCAACAGGGAAAAACTGAAAGCCATTCCTCTGAGAACAGGAACAAGACAAGGGTGCGCTCTCTCGCCACTCTTATGTAACACAGTACTGGAGGTTTTGGCAAGAAAAGGGAATCCAAACAGGCAACGAAGAAGTGAAACTCTCGCTGTGTGCAGACGACATGATTTTATATATAGAAAACCCTAAAGAATCCATCAGAAAACTATTACAAATAATCAACAACTACAGCAAAGTGGCAGGGCACAAAATCAACTTACAAAAATCAGTTGCATTTCTATACTCTAATAACGAACTAACAGAAAGAGAACTCAAGAAGACAATCCCATTTACAATTGCAACAAAAAGAATAAAATATCTAGGAATAAATTTAATCAAGAAAGTGAAAGACCTATACAATGAAAACTGTAAGACAATACTGAAAGAAATCAATGATGATATAAGGAAATGGAAAGACATCCCATGCAAATGGATTCGAAGAATAAACATAGTTAAAATGTCCATAATACCTAAAGCAATCTACAGATTCAATGCAATCCCAATCAGAATCCCAAGGACATTCTTCACAGAAATAGAACACAGAATACTAAAATTCATATGGGGCAAGAAAAGACCCCAAATAGCCAAAGCAATCCTGAGAAAAAAGAACAAAGCTGGAGGCATCATAATCCCTGACTTCAAAATACACTACAAAGCTATAATAATTAAAACAGCATGGTACTGGTACAAAAACAGACACACAGATCAACAGAACAGCACTGAAAGCCCAGAAATAAAACCTCACATCTACGGGCACATAATCTTTGACAAAGGAGCTAAGAACACACGATGGAGAAAGGAAAGTCTCTTCAATAAATGGTGCTGGGAAAACTGGACAGCCACATGCAAAAGAATGAAAGTAGACCATCTTCTTTCGCCATACACAAAAATTAACTCAAAATGGATCAAAGACTTGAAGGTAAGACTTGAAACTATAAAACTCCTGGAAGAAAATACAGGCAGTACACTCTTTGACACTGGTCATATAGGGATCTTTTCGAACTCCGTGTCTACATGGACAAGGAAAACAAACAAAAAAAATAAACAAGTGGGACTTCATTAGACTAAAGAGCTGCTTCTGCAAGGCAAATGAAACCAGAATCAAAATGAAGACAACCCACCAGCTGGGAAAAAGTATTTGCAAAGCATATATGCGACAAGGGGTTAATCTCCGTAATATATAAAGAACTCATGCAACTGAACAACAAAAAAACAAACAACCCGATCAAAAAATGGGCAGAGGATATGAAAAGACATTTTCCCGAGGAAGATATACAGATGGCCAATAGGCACATGCAAAGATGTTCAACATCACTAACCATCAGGGAAATGCAAATCAAAACAACACTAACATATTACCTCATACCAATTAGAATGGCTATAATCACCAAGACAAAAAATAACAAATGTTCAAGAGGTTGTGGAGAAAAGGAAACCCTCATTCACTGCTGTTGGGGATGCAAACTGGTGCAGCCTCTATGGAAAACAGTATGGAGATTCCTCAAAAAATTAGAAATACCTTACCATCCAGCTATCCCACTACTTGGTATCTATCCAAAGAACCTGAAATCAACAATCCAAAGAGGCTTATGCACCCCTGTGTTCATTGCAGCATTATTCACTATAGCCAAGAAGTGGAAGCAATCTAAGTGTCCCTCGACTGATGATTGGATAAAGAAGATGTGGTACATATATACAATGGAACACTACTCAGCCATAAAAAAGGACAAAATCTTCCCATTTGCAACAACATAGGCGGACCTGGAGGGTATCATGTTAAGTGAAATAAGTCAGACAGAGAAAGACAAACACCACATGATTTCACTCATATGTGGAAGATAAACTAACACACGGACAGAGAGAACAGTCTGGTGGTTACTAGGAGGAAGGGGGTTGGAGGGTGAGCACAAGGGGTGAAGGGACGCATCTATATGTGGCTGACAAACAATAATGTACAACTACAAGTTCACAATGTTATAAACTATTATGACGTCAATAAAAAAAAAACTTTAATGGATGAGGAGTTGTTTCTTCTGGATGAGCAAAGAAAGTGGTTTCTTGAGATGGAACCTACTCCTGGTGAAGATGGTATGAAGACTGCTGAAATGACAACAAAGGATTTGGAATATTACATAAACTTACTTGATAAAGCAGTGGCAGGATTTAAGAGGACTGACTCCAATTTTGAAAGGTCTACTGTAGTAAAATGCTATCAAACAACACTGCATGCTACAGAGAAATCATTCATGAAAGGACGAGTCAATCGATGTGGCAAACTTCACTGTTGTCTTATTTTAAGAAATTGCCACAGCCACCCCAACCCTCAGCAACCACCACCCTGATCAGTCAGCAGCCATCAACACTGAGGCAAGACCCTCCACTAGCAAAAAGATTATGACTCACTGAAGGCTTGGATGTCGGATTTTTTAGCAATAAAGTATTTTTTAATTAAGGTATATACATTATTTTTTTTAGACATAATGCTATTGCATACTAAATAGACTTCAGTATAGTGTAAATGTAACTTTTACATGTCCTGGGAAACCAAAAAATTCATGTGACTCTGTTACAATATCTGCTATATTGCAGTGGTCTGGAACTGAACCTCCAATATTTCCAAGGTATACCTGCACAAAATTTAACAAAAATAGATCATAGATCTAAGTATTATAGCTAAAACTATAAAGCTTCTAGTAGAAAATATAAGAGAAAAATCTTAGTGACCTTGGGTCTGGCAAAGATTTTTCCATACATGACACAAAAAGCAGGAACTATAAAAAGGAACTGACGAATTGGTAATAGAAAAAATATTTGTTTTTCAAACAACACTGTTATAAAAATTAAAAGTCAAACCACACACTGAGAAAAAACATTTGCAAAACATGTATCTGACAAAGGACTTGAACTTAGAATATATCAAGAACTCTTATACTCAGTAATAAGAAGGCAAACAACTCAATTTTTAAAAAAGGACAAAAGATTTAACGGACTTTTGACCAAATATGATATACAGATATCAAATAAACATGACAAATGTTCAAGATCATTCGTCACTGGGGAAATGCAAATGAAAACCATGATGAGAGCCTGTCACGTATCTATTAGAATGACTAAAATTAAAAAGACTGACCATACCAAGTATTGGTCACAATGTGAAGCAGCTAGAAATGCTGCTGGTAGGAATGTAAAATGGTACAACCACTTTGGAAAACAGTCTGGAAGTTTCTTAAACCATTAAACATACACCTACCATATGATGTACCCATTCCACTACTAGGTGTTTTCCCAAGAGAAATGAAAGCATATGTCCTCAGAAAGACATGAATATACATGTCTTTATACATGAATGTTCATAGCAGCTTTATTTGAGATAGCCCAAAAGTGGAAACCTAAAAACCTGTCAACAGGTGAATGGATAAACAAATTGCAGCTACATCCATATCATGTAATACTAACAATAAAAAGGAACAAACTATTGATATACACAACAACCATGGAAAAATCTCAAAAGAATTATGCTGAGTGAAAGAAGCCAGACAAAAAAAGGAGTGCATGCAGTAGGATTCCATTTATATAAAATTCCAAAAATAGCATTTAATTTATAGTGACAGAAAGCAGACCAGACTAGAGATGGCAGATGGAGAGGAAGAGAGGGATGAAGGAACAGATTACAGAGAGGCAGCAGGAAACATCTGTGAGTGACAGATATGTTCATCTTGATGGTGGGGGTGGTTTCACAGGTGTATACACATGTCAAAAGTCATCAAACTGTTAAATACTTTAAGTATGTGGAGATTATTGTACTTCAATTCTACCTCAATAAAGCTGTAAAGAAAAGAAAAAAAGGAGAATAAAGCGTCAGGTACCGAACCTTGCAAAACTCCGACATTAAAGGGTAGAAGAAAGAAAAGGAAGCACTAAAGGAGAAAGAGAAAAACTGATCACAGGCAGGATAAGAAGCAAACGATTACAGTTATCACAGAATCTATCTAAGAAAGTTTCAGGGGAGTTGTAAACAGTGTTGAATGACGGAGAAATTAAGAAAGTTGGCGACTAAAAAAAGCCCAGTGGATTTAGGCATTAGGAGATGAGTGTTAAAACAGCAAATTCAGAGGTCACCAAAGAGATGAGCACTGAAGTCAGAATGTCAAGGGTTAAGAGAATGGGAGGTTAATGAGTGGCAGCAGCAGGACAGCACTCATTTGAGGAGTATTAAAACAAAAGAGAGAGAGAAAGTTGATGCAAGACAGAAGTTTCACTCATTAATTATATGCTCCTTTCCTTCTTGATAACCACAGACAATATAAATGGACTTACGTTTTACTGGCATCATAATCAAAGATATTGCATTAAACTACTGCATTGTTAAAGTTTTTTTTTTTCCAGGACCAAAACATGACATTTAAATGAAAATATTCCTGAGAACTTTATCCACCCTTTCAAAGTTCAATACCTAAGAAATGACTGATGGGAGAGGATGCTCTGGTAACAACCCTGTTGAGGACTTGCTCCAGAATTTCTTGTCTGATCATCTCATGGATCTAAAAAGAACAGAAGAACCAGTAAAATATTGCTTGGTAACCTTCAGCTTGCAACTGCATCAATGCATCTTAGGCAGAATTTGGATATGGGTAAAACTCGACTGTTTATTTCAAAGACAAATATAATGTGAATCATCTGGAAAGACAGAATCACTCAACTCTACCTTCATTCTGTATGATTCAGATACCCTCAGATATGATATGATACCCTCATTCAGATGATTCTTTAGCAAGGCAAACTACCATGTTCATTAGCCTAAAAGAGAGATCACATGAAAGTACTGCTACATAAAAGGTCCGACATCAAATAGGAATAATTCTACTTAGGTATTCATTACACGCCAATATCAATATTTCTGACAGTACGCATAACTTTTATTTCAAAATTTACAAGCCTATGAAAATTTCAGGAAACCTAAAGTCTTCACCAACCCCTTCCTCAATTTCTAAAAGCAGAGCAGTTGCCTAAAAGAAGGCTTGTTTTGAATTTTCACTTGAATTTTAGTTAAAATTCTTACCTGAATTTGATTACTTTGAGGTACAGACTAAGTTTTTTCAGATCACAGACTAACAGTCAGATTAGTAGTAGTCAATTATATGCTCTACAGATGCTTTGACAAAGCAAACATCTGTGTGAAATCAAATGGAACCTCCCTAGTTTTAAAAAAGATTAATTTAAAACAAAAGCTATTAAACTCTTATTCTAAGAATGTTTTTAATCAGATTACTGTTAAGGAGAGTCATTTATGTCACCTAACGAACTTACAATGCTCAAGGACTATCACATGGCATTCACTTTATAGTTATGGATCAGAACACTAGATTTACATTTAAATTAGTCTCCAGTAACATTTTCAGCAGATGCTTTTGGCGTGTAGCTACCTCAAACAATTAAATGTCAAGAAGATGACTTAGAGGAATCACTAGCATAGCAAAGTTGTTTAGCCTCAATGATCTAGCTTTTTTTTTACTTGAAAACAACGGTTTTTTTTTTTTTTTTTTTTTGGTGAGGAAGATTAGCCCTGAACTAACAACATCTGTCCCCACCTTCCTCTATTTTGTATGTGGGTTGCCATCACAGCATGGCTTGATGGGCGGTGCAGGATCCAAACCTGCAAACCTCAGGCTGCCCAAGCGAAGCACGCTGAACTTAACCACTATGCTACCGCACCAGCCCCGAAAAAGAAATGAATTTTTGAAAGCTGTTTCAGACATTAAGATTGAGATGACAGTCATAATATGGCAGTGAATTAAAAAAATGTAAATTCCCCATTTGGGGTTCCTCAAAAACAATGAACCAATAAGCATGATTCTTCAAGCTTGATGTATTATAGTGACCTAAAAGATTATTTTTTGGATAAGGGAATGGCATTAAAAAAAAAAACATAAGATTTACTGCTGGAGGAAGAAGAGGAAATCATGGGAAAGCTAACTTATATTCAAACTTCTAAGAAACAGTCAGATAGAACAGAAATTAGAATAAGTAAAAAACTCATATAAATAAAAGAAAAGAAAGTATGCCATCAAACTGGATTCATAATGTTTTAATTACTATCCCAATCTCTGTTCCCAGAAACTGCTTACATACTCAAATCTCCTTGTCCCCCAAACTCCCAGGCAAATGTCATGCCCTATTTATGATATAATTTAACAAAATTAGGAAATGGTTGCCAAACTAGAGCCTCACCTTAAAAGTTTCCAACAGGATATTAGCTCCCAGCTTACATGCTTGCTGGTTTGGCATTCTAGAAAGACCTGAACTGGTTTCAATAGTTTTTCCATCAAAAATCTTCTTTGGCCCATATGAATCCATTAAAATGAAGCCAAGTTCCACCAGGCCCTGAGTAACATGATCCCAACTATGAACACTGCAAGAAAACAAAGCTTAGTTAAAAAGAAAAACTTAGTCAGATACCATACCTTTATACTCATTGTCGTGTTACACATTTCCCAAACTTGACCTGCATAACCTTCACATGAACTTTTTCTTTTTATGCATCCTTATCTGGCAGAATTCTGAATTCTGGGATGTACAGTAATGGGAATGGTAGGCAGCAATCTCCACTGACAGATAGAACACTGGGGAAATCCAGAAACTACTGAATATTCAAAAATATAGAGAAAAAAACAGACTATTTCAATATACTGACCATTAGAGATTTCCATCCAAGATTTCATGACTAGAAGTTTCTTGCTGCTGCTTCTATTGCCCCCATGACACTAACAACACTTACATATATGCTTACAAGTTTGCCTCCCTCCCTAGATTGAGATTCTTTATGGTAGAGACCATAACGTAGTCATATTTTTACCCATATAGCCTAGCTCAAGGCTGGCATATAGAAGGCACTCAGTAAATATTTATAGTAGGAATACTTATATTCATATGTTCATATTTATATCATATTCATATCTATAGTATGAATTGATGAATGACCTAGTTTCAAAAGCATGAGATAAAATTACAATAACCTTTTGTAAAGCAGTAGAATCCTTGGTGATTTTATAGCACTTAATGTTACCCAAAATAGCAGAAGTGCTACACATAATAACCTTTATATCATTATATCCACCTGCTAAACAGCAACAAATTATAATGCAGCACCAAAGAATGAAGGAGACAGCGGTGAATAGATTTTCATAGCATTTCAGCAGATTTTAATAATATTCCCACTCTGGAGATCTGGGATCAAGAATATAGACTGAACACATGCTCCATTCTTCCCACCCCAAATACCTACAAATGACAGAAAAGATACACACATCTGTGTGTGTATGCGTCCATATATGGTGTATATATACAATCCATAATAATGTGAAAAAATAAGAGGTGTTTTAGGCTGACTAGAAATTGCGAAGAATCCTTAAAAAGTGAAAGGAATATAAGAATGAAAGAGGAAGTCACAGTCACTTAGTGGAAAATCAAGGGGTAGCTCCAAAAGCAGATACCAAGGGCAGATATCCTGGGAATTGGAAAGAACCCTGGGACAACTTTTGTGGTGACTGGTTGGGATACCCCAGCATGAACAGTTTGGTACACAGCATCCTTCTCTACCTTCTTCTCCAAGGCCCCACTGCACCCCCAGTTTATGCCAAGAAGTGAACAACAATGAGGCCTGCTCTTAGATGGGATCTGTGAGTAGAGGAGCTTGGGCCTGAGAGGCAGAGTAGCACTCTGAGAGGATGACAACATGCTGGAGGAATAGGGAGGCCCCACACCTAGAAGATTAGCCCTTGGCACATCCTACCACTATCCTCAAATCACAGAGGTAGATTGTGTTAAATAGATATGGCACTCTCAGACAAACTGATCAGGAGCATCAAAAACAATAATAAGGAGACAACCAATAACCACCGAATACAAGAAAGAAATACCACCTTGAAAGAGAAGCAACAAACTCAACAAAGAGAACTAATACCTAAGGGAAAGGTTAATGGAACAAATAGGAGGAGATTTTAAAAGTCTAATGAATATCCTCAGAGAAAAAAGAAAGATTGTAGCATGAAACAAAAAACAGACTGTTATGAAAAAAAGAACCAACTGGAAACTTTGGAAATGAAAAACATGGCAGCTAGAGTGAAAAACTCAATAGACGGACCTAAGGGTAAAATGGACAAAGCTGAAGAACAAATTAATGAGAAGAGAGAGCTGAGGGATTTTTGTAGAACTTCATACAAAAAGACAAAAATATGAAAAGCAAGAAAGAAAAATTAAGAGATATGGCACACAGATCAAGAAATTTCAACAACTAATAGCAGAGTACAGAGAGAAAAATGGGATGGATTACTCAAAGAAAATAAAATTACAGAGCTCAGAAAAGACATGAATTCTTACAGTGAAAGGGCACACTAAGTATAAGCAGGAATGAATTAAAAAGGAACCTACATAAACATAAACTGTGTTAAATTTCAGAATATCAAGGATAAAAATAAAGTGTTAAAAGTTCCCATGAAGAAAATAGCAGATTATCTACCATACAAAGAATCAGATAATCATCACACTTTTCATCAGTAACTCTAGATGCACAAAGACAATGAAAAATGGTTATAAATCTTATATCAGATTTTTATACTTGGTCAAACTATTGTTCAGGTGAGAGGGAAAAATAAAGACATCTTCAGATATGAAAATATTCAGAAAGTTTACTATCCACAAACCGTATCAGAAAGCACTGCTGCAAAAACTACATACTTATGGCATATTTCTAAAAGAAAAAATATGAGATTCAA